TTTTGCATCTTAAAATTCACTTGCAACTAAATCATTAAATGTTACTTTTTTTGGGGGGGGGGCATTTCATTTTCTTGGAATTTAATTTTGTTTTCAGGGGTCATTGGATTTAAGTGTCATAAATAAAATAAATAAATAAATAACATATCACCGAGGGGAGGGGGGCGATAACTTCCTCAATGGCTCAAGGGGGCGTTTCTTTCAAAAAGGTTAAGAACCACTGACACAGATGGACACTTAAAAGTGCTTTTTTTTAAGTTTGGAAGAAGGTCACCAGCAGTCCTTTATCAAATAAAAAATGAAAAAGTGGATAAAACTAAATATTTCAGTTCATAAAAATAATTTTAAAAGCATAAATTGAGGATGAAATCAATTTTTTTAAAATTTGAGGAGTAGCGTCTGAGTAATATTACTTGGTAGGGTTATTAAACAGTCTTCAAGATACAGTACTTAATCAATGTAGCGCTTCAATGCTTTGAGTCCAGTTAAAGTCAGCATGCTTGTGCTTGGTTGTAGGTAAGTACAGGACTCATTATTGGATGAGTAAGTTTTGAAGCTGGAGGTGAAAGTATGAGCTTCAGATAAGACAGCTTTCTGTTCTAGTACTGAAGTAGGTATTCATTAGATTTTTGTGTTGCCCATGTTAACCTTAAAAGTTGCTGGAAGTAACCTTCCCAACTTCTGGGTCATCTTTATTCAATAATTGTGCCTTTGTTGTCAAATTGAAATACTTATGTTTTTCAACAGGCTAGTGTTCGGGATGCTGTATCCTGCTTATTATTCATACAAAGCTGTAAAGACAAAAAACGTGAAAGAATATGTAAGTATATATAAATATTTTTTACAATAACAAGTTGTTTTTGAGCTTTGAATGTACACTTTATAATATGGCTATCAAAAGTAATCTGGTTTCTAGTCTGCTAAGAGAAAATAACTAGTTTTAACATAGTGTTATCCTGTTTTACACTTCATGTGCTGGTATTGATAATAATAGTTACTTTCTATTAAACTTGGGTAATTGAAGATACTTGTAGGAACACGTTTGTAATGAAGTTCTTCTTCAGCCGGGGGCGGACTCGTTGTAAAGGCAGGAAAAAGAGTCGGAGGCTGTTCTGACCTTTCAACAATAGTCTCTTTATTCTTAACAGCATTAAGTTCAACAGTGTCAAATGGATCTAATAAACTTATCTCAGGCAAAACATGATATTTCTTAACTCTTACTCCTCCACTTTCTCTACCCTCCTTCAAAAGGGAGCCGGACCAAAGCGTTCTCGGTCTGTCATGGGTCTCAGGGGGCCACTCCGCACCGCGCAGACTGTCCCACAATATGGGTGACGAGCCCAGTCCCCCTCGGGTGGTTTCTGAAGAAAAGAGGGACCGGGACAGATCACCCTCCATCCCCCAGGGTGGTTTCGAAGGTACACGACTACTGTCCATTCTAAGGTGTTAAACTCACGTCCTTGTGCACCGGCTAAGGCTGGATCTGGCAGTAGTCCCCCTCCTAACTGTAAGTTAGGAAAGTCCTTCTCGATTCCGGACGCCTCTCCTAAGTCCTGCATGGGTTTTGTCTGTGCCCCGCGACTTATGTTCCTTCCCAATTCACCATCCGTTGCCAGATTAAAAACGCGCGCGTTTTCCCCCTCTTTTATCTCCTCACATACTATTAGATCTAGCTCCTCCCCTCTCTCATCTACTAAGCACACTTCTGCTGGTATTTGTTGCACCACCTCCTCCTGTTCTATTTCTATCAGTATTCCCTCCGCGCATCCGCTTTCAGTCACTGTGTTCTGTGACTCGGAGGACGGCACACTGCGCTTCTGATCTTCACAAGGTTCATCTCAGCAGCAACTTTACCCCTTATGATTGATGTTCATGTTCCCCCTTTCATCTTAATTGTTGTTAAGTAGTATAGTGGCACAGCCACCAGGGTAAATTTGATTTAAATTAAATCAGTTTAAATCACAGTTTAAGTCACTAGTCAGTAAGACTTGATTTAAATCATTAATTTAAATGTAAAGAATTATTCTTGATGGTACTTACAACGTTTAATATTTGTAGCCAGATGAAGATACCATATTTAGAATAATAACCTGTGCATGTTATCTTAGCTTGAAATAATTGAATTAGATATGTAGATATTGCATGAATATACAGTTGCATGGTACATAACTAAGTTCTATTACATGCTGAATTACCTTTGAACTATAATGCATTTTAAATAGAAAACTATCTTTAGATAGATTTTCACTCCGAAAGCATTTCATTAAAATAAATCCAATTTAAGTTTTTAAAATCTGAATTTTTTAAATCATCAATTTTAATCCACCCTGACGGCCACTAACTATTTTAGCGCAAATAGATTGGCTAAGTCAGTGGTTCCCAACCTGAATCCCAGAAATCTATTAGTGAGGGCTTCTGGGAGTTTTAGTGTAAGAGCATCTGGGGACCCAAGGTTGGGAACCACTGGTCTAGATAAACTGGTATGTGGTGCTCGCTTCCACTCTTTAGCTTCTGATTAATTTGGGGATGAACCGCCAAAATGGCAGTTAAATCCTGGTTCATGGTCAAAGTTCACAAAGCACAAGTTTCCTCCCCATGAACCGACAAACCAGAAATCTTTTTGGGGGGGGGGGTTAGACAGCCAAATACTGTCTTAAAAAAACCCCAAAAGACCCCTCCACGGCTTGCCCCCTTCCCACTACCTCTGTTGCCTCTCTTATCTTGGCTGCCATCATATGTGTCTGCAGCCCACACTGCTGCCACTGTCATCTGTGGCGGCCTGCACCATGCCAACCTCTGCTGCCACCATTCACTGCTCCTCGCTGTGGTGGCCTCCACTGCTATGGTCTGCCTTAAGGGAATCCGGGCTCCCCTTTGCAAAGATGGTGGCTATGGCTTCTATTAGGGTGGGGAAGCTGAAGCCACTATCTTTGCAAATGGAAGCCCAGATTCCTTTAAGGTAGGCTAAAGGAACCCAGACTGCTCTTTGCAGAGATGGCAGCTGCGGCTTCCCTGCCGTAACAGAAGCCACAGCCACCATCTTTGCAAAGGCTACCCAGCGTCCTATACAGCATGCTGTGGCTTCAGAGCCATTGCAGCGGGCGGCAGCAGCTGCCGGCGATGGATGGCGGTGGCACCAGGTAGAGACAGATGACAGCAGCAGTGAAGGCAGGGGAAGGGGGTAGAGGACGGCATGTGGAGGTGAGTGGCTCTGGGGCTGGCTGGTTGCCTATGAGCCTGCTAGTCAGCTGTTCGGTGGGCCCATAAGCAGAGTAGGAAGGCCATAGGCACAAAGGGAAGACTAGCCTTCCCCTATTCCTATGATGGACAAATAAAAATGGACAAATATTTATTTCTTCTATTCATTGGGGTCTCTGGAATTGATGAATATGAAGGGATAAATATTTAACACACCAGCGATTTTTAACAAATATTGCAATTCTTTTTTTATTCATCCTCATGTCTACTCCTGATTGATATACTTTTCCATATGCAGTAAACCTTGGTGAAAGGAGAAGAGTACCATATTTTTCCATGTATAAGATGCTACTTTTTCCTAAAAACATTACACTAAAAATTGAGAGGTATCTTATACATGGAACACAAAACAAAACTGCTTGTACATTGCCTCTGTAAACAGGCTTCCTTCAATCATGAGGCTTAGCTTCCTACAGTCAGGAGACTTTGCTTCCTCCACAAGCCTTATTGAACTGACGTCATCTGATGCTAAACAAACCAATTAGAACACATCTCGTTGAAGGTGGAACCTGTAGGCTTAGATGGAACAGGGACTCAAGTTGAGTCCAGAGGCCAAATACTCAAAGCTAAGTTTTAATTTGGGGGTTAGAAAAGGGGGGGGTCCTTATAAATGGAAAAATACCATAAGTACGCTTGTTTAAATCCAATAATGTATAGAAGTAGGGAACTTCACTAGTTCAATAGACTGTTTTCATCCTTCCCCAGACTTCATTTGACCTTCAGTTGACCTCACCTAACCCTCAGTACACCTCCAGTACACATTCTTCAGGACGCAGTCTTAACTGTGTCCAAAAATTAGGTCCAGAGGCTTTCAAGTCATCTAGAGCAGGCTTTGAGGGCATGGTGTCATCTGAAGGAGTGCGGGGAAATTGCCACCATCCCAGGTGTGCAAACAGAAACACTTCTGTTAAGGAAATTACCGTGTGGCATTTTGCCCTTATGATGGTTTGTCCTTTGGTTCTCCCTTTCTTTCAAATAAATCATGAGATTTATGTAACTTTGAAACGGGGTGAGGTTTATTGGGGTATTTAACAAATAATCAGTATCAACGAAATTGTCCCACAACTTTTCTCCTGTCGACAATGGGTCAGGCGAAGGTTTCCATCCTTCAGTCAGGAACTGGTTACTGTCTGTCGTGTTCCAGGGACCAGGCCAGTCTATCAATGTACCTGGCTTCACCGTCTGTCCGACCTCTCCTTCCAGTAAGGGTATGGTGTCGTCATCTCGGGGTTCACTCCACCCGACATCTCCGGTTGACGTGTGGGTCGCCCAGTGTCCTCCCTGTATTCTCATCTCCTTCACTCTCCATTCTATTCTTTCTCTCCTCTCTCTTTCCACACTTTCCTTTTCCTCTCTCAGCCTCTTCCACCACTCCCTGGCTTCAGCTTCCCCCCAATAAGAGGGTCTCGGTGGTATCTCTCTCCTCTTTCTGTAATCGGCTTCTTCCTTCGGTACCCTTAGTCTTTCCCAAGCTCCAGTCCATGGATGCTCCATCCAGACCCATTCCCAGCCTGGAGGCAACTGTCCCTCCTTTCTTTTGATATCCACTGACTCTGTCTCTATCTCCACCCTCTTCTTTCATTCTGTTCCTACCAATCTCTCGTCAGTTCCTCCTACCGTTAACCCTTGTATCTCTCTTTCCAATTCCCGGGTGTCTGTCCCCCGTTATTGTTTTCTTAGGAGGTGAAGTGGGTAGGGTTTGTATTTCTCTCTCCACCGTGTGGGGGAGGGATGACACTCCAGCGAGAGGACCACTACTCTTGCCCCCTGTCTCACACTCCTTAAATGTATATAGACTTGTATATCAGATATACCTGTAATTGAACTTAAGAAAGGAGATTTTTGTTTGCTTTCGTAAATGGTGCTTTCATACTTGTTACCTTCTGCTACATGTCCAAAAGAAGGATATAAAAATCTGTTCTATTAAGGTTGGTTATACTTTAAATGGAAGGAAATGAGGTAACTGTTAATGTCTGTTGTAATTAAAATTACACACTGTATACTTGCAGCAGGCTTCTAAATTATTGTGTGGGATTGGAAGGGTCTGCTTGCATGCAAGAAACCCGAGTCTTAATATTCTCTTTAGAGATGAGATATTTTTATTTATCTCCATGGGAAGATGAATACAAATATCGCCACCACAGGTAGCTGGGCTCCTTTGACCCTCCCCGCATCCCCAGAACCAGGCCATCCACTTATCATTTGTGGTGCTCATGGCCATCCTCGTTGGCACTACGCCAGTTGCTGATAAAGTCTGGCTGGGACTTCCCTGCCTCACTCTGCTGCTGACCACTCTGGTGAGGAGGTGGAATGACAAGTTTCCCTGCTCAGTTGGTGAGTGATTAGCAGCAAGGGGAGGTGGGGAAGCCCAAGCCAGGCTACTTCCGCAATTGGCATGGCATGGACAAGGACAGTTGTGCACACCCCAGCACAAATGGTAAGTGAATGGCCTGGTTCTTGGGGAGAGGGTCAAATAGGCTAAGCCACCTGTGGTGGCGATATTTGTATTTGTCTTCCCCAGGAGACCATCTCTAGTTCTGTTTGCAAAAGTGGTATATTTTG